AAGTGCTGCAGATGTCATAGCAATCACAGAAGAGCCCCACCCCCGAGAAATTACGGCGTTAAAATATTAGATCAGTCGTGTTTAAACTTGGCTGTATCTAAGAATTTCAGGGGAGGCATGATAAAAATGCACATTACTTCCTCCCATCCCAAGAGGCTGTGAATTAGCAGATCTGCAGGAGGGCCCAGGAATCTGTGTCCATAACGGCACCTTAAATGACACAGTGCTCCCAGACCACATCTGGAGAAAAACCAAGTGCCAAATTACAAGATAACACTTCCCTCATTACTTCATACCCAGGCATATTTTCCTCCTCATGTAAACCAAAATATCTCACACACAGTAAATTTAAATTATTGGTGTCAGCAGAAAGAATTATGGACACAGCCAACCCAGAAGAGTAGTTTATCTCCCACAAATTCACAGATTCATGCTTTTTCCCAGATTCAAATCACCATCTTCTCATCTCAGTGTGACAAATTTTGCTTTAGATTTACTCATTTTATTTTCCCCCATGATGGGGGGAGTTTCAAATTTTCACTCAGTTATCTAATTCTTGTTTTAAAAATTAGGTTTAAAAAAATGTGCCTTTCAAAAAGAAACTTGGTTTGTGCAAAGTTTAAATACGTAGGATTTATATAAAAGATATGGAGGGAGTAGTTATCTACTTTATAAAGACTGCTTTGTATTGCAAAAGGACTAGGCCCTGTGAGGACATCCTTTAAAAGCAAATCTGTCTGGCATTTTCAGATTTGCACTGACAGACACGGGCCCAGGTTCCATGGGCATGGAAAACATATTTTTTATGAAAGTGAGCCACACCTTCAAAATAACTATGAACTCCACAAACTTTCTACAGCTGGGGTACAGGGGAGAGGTGGAAGGCAGCTGACATACATACTGGGTTCAGTTTAATATTAAAAGTTTTGAACCATGTAGAATATTCTTGCCTGTTCCCTCAATTATAAAGATAGCCCTGTTGAGAATTGTATAAAAAGCCTTAGAAGATTCAAGTTTAGTAAAAACAAGAAACTTATTCCAGAGAGGAAAGGTGACATGTGCAGTATAGGTTAACAAGACCCAAGCCAAAGACCCCAGTAGAGAATTCTGCCCCCAACCCCCTAGAGAGCGATGGCAGGGAGAACCTGCTTCCCTTTCTCCAGTTTGCTGTGTCCATCTCTGTCTGGATGGAGTAAGTGCTCAATTCTCAGCGAAGGACATATTGGAACTGACAGCCTCACTATTGTGTATGTAATATGTCATGGCTGACAGATGAAGAATTGGGATTTCATGAAATGCAATGGGATATAGCCATCAGCCAGAGCTGAAGGAGGCCTTGTTCCCGACCCCTTAAAAAGCGTTCCTTCTGGGTGGACTTTGCCCCTTTTCTGCAGCCCCTGAGAGTGAAGGGTTTAAAGCACCATTTCCCCCCATTACTCCTGATCCTTTGTTGTGCTCCCCTTTTGTCCACCCTGCCCTTTGATTGCTGAGTTCTCCCAGCAGGGCAAATTGCAGTTGAAAAGGTCTGAACAATGGGATTAGGCAGTGGTCCAGGGAAGCACTGGGGACCTGCAAGCTTAACCGCATTACTCTCAGCTGGTCTGCCCTGGGTGTAAGTGAGCAGGCCCCACCTGTCACTGCCAGGGTGAGATCAATCCTCCTAACAGACAGTCACATGACCTGCCCCCAAAGCAGAGCTAATTGGAAGGTGAAATAATTCACAGGAGATGGGGGGAAACTAACAGTGAAAAATGCACAGAAGAGGAGTTACCTTACAAGTGCCTTTGGCCCTTTAGTGATTGGAAAGGTGTTTTTGTTTTTGTTTCTGTTTTTTGTTCAACACCTAACACATTGTGGCCCCCCAGTTTCATTATTTACCACCTATCAAATGAAAGATTTATGGTGTATTATCTTTTGTATGCAGCTATATATTTTGCCATTGTAATAAGCAATACTTTTATTTATTTATTTATTCATTCTTTCATTCATTCAACATTCATTCATGTACTGTGTCAGTGCCCAGCTTTGTAAAATAGGCCCTGAGAAGATAAATAAGATATACTCTGACGTCAGAATACTTACACTCTGGAAGACAGTGACAGGCAAATACACAAATAAATGCTGCTAACATTTGTGATAACTGTGATAATTGTCTTTATGATTGTCAGTGACACATGCAGAAATAAAGCATAAGAAATTTGGTTGGAGGCAGTGATTGTGTTTGCAGACAATACATTGTAATATACAATTCTTTCATGTTACTATTCACAAAATGAAATACCCATGGTAAAAATGTATATTATTATTTATTAAATAGATGTTTAGTGAGTGCCTACTGCATGCCAAGAGTCTATGCTTTGTATGTTGATGTCAGTGTATGCAAGCCAGAGAAGGAAGTAGGGATTTAATTCAATTAGCACATAAATCAAATGTGAATTATAACTATGGTAAGTGCAACAAAAATGAAACACATGCTTTCATGAAAACATCTAACAAGGACCGTTTTGTAAAGTATAGGATCTTCCCTAAGAAGGATCTGAGACCACAGCATGAAGAAAGTATTAATTAGGGCTTCACTAGATGCCGAGAATCAGAAGATAAGTAGCAAAGAAGACATAATAAGAGTCAAGGACCAAGATTTCAGTCCTTACCTCAGTGTGATGTCCCTCTGTGGACTTTTGAGTTTGCAGGTAGAGAAATTTGGAGAAGAGAGGGCCGCTGAAACTCTGTTTTGCGCAAGTCCTACACAATAACATACATCTTTAGGTTCACTGTCATTTTCAATAATTGTGCCCACTAACTCTCAGAAGTGCCTCAGTATGAATAAAATATCCTCATCCTAAGAAGCAGAAAACGTAACTTGGAAGCTTTCTTCTAGTTCTATGATTTTGCGAGTGTACACATAGTGGCAGCTAAATCCACAGCATAAATTGTAAATTAGCACATCCCTGAATCATAAAAGATAAGTAAGTGACATTTAAATATTTTATGCTATGAATAAGATCTCTATATTTTTGTAGAAACTGGAATAACAGCTTAAGTCCACAGCAGTAATACCTACAAGCCATGCTCCAGTGGAAAGATTAATTCTTTATATGTTCATGATAGTGATGTTTCTACTATAAATTACAAAATAATGCAAAAACATTGAGCAATTTTTTGTTAACTTTTTTCCTGGGTATTTATAGGCTTATAGGGAGACTATCTCATACTTAAAAAGTATAGTGCAGTGATGTAAGTATAAACAGGATTTCACAAAATCAGTGAGGCAAAAAATACCCTAGGGATTTTAAGAACGTGTGAGGGAAACCCTTGCTGCATTACGACACTGAATTTTACCCGTAATGCTTCCTGCCATCTGTGTTTTGACTCTTAACGGGAACTATAAAAAATGTTTGTTTTTTTTTTAACAAAGCATAAGTTCTATAAAATCAGTTCAAAGACAGACAGAATGATAGATGACAAGTGGATGGATAGAGAGATAGGCAGGCAGATATAAAGACAGACGCAGTAGACCAAGAGATGTTACAGGCCAACTGCTCCTAAATTTGCTACGTCAAGCATCCTAGTTCACTTCTCAGTGGGGATATCCTTCAAAACTTTCTTCAATTTCTTAACGTTTTTTCTTCTGTAACAAATCTTAGGTTAATGCATTCTGTCTGTACCAGTTGATCCTACACTGAGCATTAAGGAATGCTTCTTTATATTAGCAACATGATTTAAAATCTATCTAGAAAAATGAGAGCATATTTGTATTAAAATAGCTTTAATGTGTTTACAAATTATGTGTTTACCTCATCCCCTTTGTGATTTTACACATACTGATTATGTTATGCCTCAAGCATGAGTGTTGCCCTTTCTAACTGAGGAGTCTACAGGAAGGTGCTGAAGAGGAGCCCTTGGGGTCCATGTGGGAAGGCACAGCTGCCAATATGCAGAAGCATAATCTTGAACTACAGGGGTATTTCCTGGTACATTTTTCCAGGAAGTTCAAGGTTCCTTCTGAGAATTTTCAAGGGTTTTCTCAAATAACATTAAATGCCTAGTATAACCTTATGATCCCTTAACATGTTAATCCCAAACGTGGCAACACACCTACAATCCACAAGGACTTGAAGACTCAGGACAATTCTATCCTGTTTCTACTTGTCTTCCATTTCTTTCCATGTCCTTTGCCCTTAATTCCTTGATTGGTGCTATTTTTACTTGCTGTGGCAATTTCCTGTGAGCACTGTGTTATTTGGCTGCAGAGATGCTGAACTCTAGGACAAGTTGCAAGCTGAAAGAAACTGAGACTGGAGGACACAAGGGGAAAATGTACATCTGAGGAGAAGTAGGGACATATACAAGAGGCACCTTGGGTTAGGCAAAAAAAAAGGAAGGAAGGAAGGAAGGAAGGAAGGAAGAAAGAAGGAAGGAAGGAAGGAAGGAAGGAAGGAAGGAAGGAAGGAAGAAAGGAAGGAAGGGAAAGGAAAGGAAAGGAAAGCAAGGAAGGAAGAAGGAAAGAAAAGAAAGAAAGAAAGAAAGAAAGAAAGAAAGAAAGAAAGAAAGAAAGAAAGAAAGAAAGAAAGAAAGAAAGAAAGAAACCACTGGAAGCGAGGATGCTTAGAAGCTCTGTTTGGCTCTGCCACCCAGGAAGGACTCTCCTTTATTCAACTTTCAGCTGAAACTTTTAACTACCCCTCTTCTCTCTGAGTAGATTTTATTTTCAGATTGCATGAAACCAAGATAGGTCAAGTTTCTTGTTATTTAAAATTTTAAAAGACAGCAATTAAATAAAGCATCCTCATTAATGTTCACAACCAGTGCAATATGTATCTTTACTATTACAACTGAGAAAACCTCTGTGAAAAATTTTGGGATTAAAGGTGGCTATTAAAATAGTAGTCATTTGTTTCCAACTTTCAAATAATTAAGGCTTTTGACATTAAATGTTAAGCAGCTCCAGCATATTCATCATGATTTCTCTTTCTCTTTCTCTCCATTTTACCCACCCTTAGGCTTATGAGAGGCCCCAGAAACACCCTACTCTCCATTATGACCCAGGCCTCTCACAGGACTTCACCAGTGACACCTTAAAACCAAAGCACCAGCAAAAAAGCAGCAGCCAGAACCATGTGGACTGGTCCACCAACTCTGACAGTGGACCCTCCAGTCAGAATTGCTTCATCAGTCCAGAGTCAGGCCGAGAAACTGCAAGCACCAGCAAGATCCCAGCTCTTGAGCCTGTGGCTTCCTTTGCCAAGGCCCAGGGAAAGAAAAGCAGTGCAGGGAGCACATGGAGTCAGTTGTCTAACAACAGTAAAGATCTGCTTCTGGGATCTGTGGTTCCATCTCCAAGCAACCGCAGCTCACCAGCCCCTGCTAGCAGCTCTTCTGAGTGCAATGGTCTCCAGCCCTTAGGAGATCAAGAAGGAGGAGGTACAAAGGAACCCTCAGAACCACCTACTACAGGCAGCAAGAAAAAGTCAAGTAAAAAGGATGTGATAAGTCAAACCATACCAAACTCAGACCTGGATTGGGTCAAGAGTGCCCAGAAAGCATTTGAAAACACAGAAGGGAAAAGAGAGGGTTACTCTGCAGATAATGCCCAGGAGATATCACCAGCCAAGCAGAATGTGAGTTCTGTAGGTAATCTTGAAACTGACTCTAGTCATGTCAGGATTACTATCCCCATCAAGGCACCCTCTCTAGATCCAGCCAGCCATAAGAGGAAAAAGAGACAGTCCATTAAATCAGTGGTGGAAAAGATCATCCCAGAGAAAGCACTGGCTTCTGGAATCTCCATGAGCAGTGAAGTCGTTAACAGGATACTTTCTAACTCAGAGGGAAGTAAGAAAGACTCCCGTGTCCCTAAATTGAGTAAAATGATAGAGAGTGAACCCCCCTCAATTAGCCTTGAAACTGGTGGAAATATAGAGAAAATAATCCCAGGAGGAATGTCCAAGCAGAGGAAACTACCCATCGTCATGGCGTCTCCCACATGCACAGATCACTCCCCCTCAAGAAAGCTGCCTGACATCCAACATCCAAAATTTGCTGCAAAACGGAGATGGACGTGCAGCAAGCCAAAACCCACAAGTATGCTTCGAGAGGCAGTCATGGCCACCTCTGATAAACTGATGGTGGAACCCCCATCTGCTTACCCTATCACCCCATCCAGCCCTCTGTACACCAACACCGACAGTCTTACTGTGATCACTCCAGTCAAAAAGAAGCGAGGACGACCAAAGAAGCAGCCTTTGCTCACTGTGGAGACGATTCATGAGGGTACTTCCACCAGCCCAGTCAGTCCCATCAGCCGAGAGTTTCCTGGCACCAAGAAAAGAAAGAGGCGACGCAACTTAGCTAAGTTGGCCCAGTTGGTGCCAGGAGAAGACAAACCCATGAGTGAAATGAAATTTCACAAAAAGGTTGGAAAACTTGGTGTGTTGGATAAGAAGACCATCAAAACTATCAATAAGATGAAGACACTCAAGAGGAAAAATATCTTGAACCAGATCTTGTCCTGTTCCAGTAACATTGCCCTGAAGGCCAAAGCTCCCCCAGAGACCAGTCCTGGGGCAGCCTCAATTGAAAGCAAACTGGGCAAGCAGATTAATGTCAGCAAGAGGGGGACCATCTACATTGGCAAGAAGAGAGGCAGGAAGCCAAGAACAGAGCTGCCACCCCCATCCGAAGATCCTAAGTCAGCCATCAAGCACTCCAGGTCTGTCTCCAGCCAGCCGGATGTTCCAGCCGTGCCTTCCAACTTCCAGTCACTTGTGGCATCCTCACCAGCAGCTATGCACCCACTTTCCACGCAGTTGGGTGGGTCCACTGGCAACCTGAGCCCCGCCAGCACTGAAACTAGTTTTTCAGAGTTGAAAACTATGCCAAACCTCCAGCCCATCAGTGCTCTTCCAACCAAAACCCAGAAGGGAATTCACAGCGGAACCTGGAAGCTGTCTCCCCCCAGGCTGATGGCCAACTCCCCTTCGCACCTGTGTGAGATAGGCTCACTAAAGGAAATCACATTGTCCCCTGTGAGCGAGTCCCACAGTGAGGAGACCATCCCAAGCGACAGTGGCATCGGGACAGACAACAACAGCACGTCTGACCAAGCAGAGAAGAGTTCAGAATCCCGACGGAGGTACTCTTTTGATTTCTGCTCCTTGGACAACCCTGAGGCCATTCCATCTGACACCAGCACAAAGAACCGGCATGGCCACCGGCAGAAGCATCTCATTGTGGACACCTTCCTGGCCCACGAAAGCCTCAAGAAGCCAAAGCACAAGAGGAAAAGGAAAAGCCTGCAAAACCGTGATGATCTCCAGTTTCTGGCTGAGCTGGAAGAGCTCATCACCAAATTCCAAGTATTCAGGATCTCCCACCGGAGTTACACCTTTTACCATGAGAATCCATATCCCAGCATTTTCCGGATTAATTTTGATCACTATTACCCGGTGCCATATATCCAGTATGACCCATTGCTCTATCTTCGTAGGACTTCAGACTTGAAGTCAAAGAAGAAACGTGGTAGGCCTGCAAAAACCAATGACACCATGACAAAGGTGCCTTTTTTACAAGGGTTCAGCTACCCTATTCCCAGTGGAAGTTACTATGCAGCCTATGGAATGCCTTACACATCAATGCCTATGATGAACCTGGGTTACTATGGTCAGTACCCCGCTCCTCTCTATCTATCGCACACACTTGGAGCAGCTTCCCCATTCATGAGGCCAACGGTGCCACCGCCTCAGTTCCACACAAGCTCCCATGTGAAAATGTCTGGGGCAGCTAAGCATAAAGCAAAGCATGGAGTACACCTGCAGGGACCAGTTGGCATGGGCCTCAGTGACATACAGCCATCACTGAACCCTCCCAAGGTGGGAAGTGCCGCTCTGACTGGTGGTCGACTCCACAAGAGGAAACACAAACACAAGCATAAGCACAAGGAAGACCGGATCCTGGGGACCCATGACAACCTGAGTGGTCTCTTCGCAAGCAAAACCACAGGCTTCTCCAGCCACCTCCTGAGTGAGCGGTTGAGTGGTGCAGACAAAGATCTCCCGCTGGTGAGTGAGAAGGCCAAGCATAAGGAAAAACAGAAGCACCAGCACAGTGAAGCTGGCCACAAGGCCTCCAAGAACAACTTTGAGGTGGACACCCTGTCTACACTGTCACTTTCAGATGCCCAGCATTGGACACAGGCCAAGGATAAAGGCGACTTGAGTAGTGAGTCTGTGGACTCATGCCCTAAAAGATACTCTGGCAGTAGCGGAGATGGTAGCAGCACAAGATCTGACAGCTTGGACATGTTCAGTGAAATGAACCCTTCCAGTGACAAGTGGGACAGTGACATGAGTGGGAGTAAAAGGAGAAGCTTCGAAGGCTTTGGGACATACAGGGAAAAGGACATCCAAGCCTTCAAGATGAACCGTAAGGAAAGAAGTTCGTATGACTCCTCTATGTCTCCAGGTAAGGACAAGTTTTCCTTCAGACTTGGTCTACCTAGTTGTTTGTTAGGTTCTGAACTTCAGGTGCCAGCTATCTTTGGCACGTTGTGGTCACTAGTTTGCAAAGAAGTAGGAACTAAATTATAACTGGTCTCTAAGCACATTTGAGTTTGCTATGCATTTTGTACATTGTTTACTTCACATTTACTGTCTTTCCTCCAGCCTGGAGCCTTTGTCAAGGAAATTGTGGACCCAGAGGTAGCTCCTAGTAACTGCCTAAGTTAAAACCATGCCTACTTCTTTTTAAAAAATAAATATTGTTCTTAGGTTCTTAAGTCCTAATCATTTGGTACAGTTTGCTACTTAGATAAAGCTTGTAAAATTTACTAGGAATACCAGCAAGACCTGAAAAATGGCAAACCTAGACAGGAAAGAATATCTGGCATATGTGACATGCTGTCTTCAGGAGTCACACATCTTAGGTGAGAAATCTCCTGCTGACTGACTGGCCACTGAAAAGATGACCAGTTAAATCCTGAAGTCTAAGCTATCTGGAAGACACAGCCTGGGTCATGTTGCCCTTTCTTGATTCATGGGTATTGAAAAAGCTACCATATGCAGAAACTCAAAGTAAAGCCTCGCATTTACACACTTATCATTTCCACACAATAAGAGGAAGAAGTCTTGCCAAAGATATTATGTACCTTTTACCTCCACAGAACCTTCCTATGTGTCTCTTAGCATGGCTACTGCGTGGAAATTTTGTTGACAGTTCTCAAATTGAAGTGTACATCGCTACTAGAAAGACCCTCTTCAAAGACCTTTGTCAGTTGCTGGCAGAATCCCTCTGCTAACCTTTCCATCCACGCAGATCCTTCTTGGTCACTCATGGGGACATCACACTTGACAAAGTCATCCCTGTGTCCCTGGCTATGCATCATAAAGATAAGACTCTTACAGGATAACAGAACAGATATTTACTAACAAAACAGTAAAAATTCCATTCTTACAAGTTGAAGAAGCTAAAGGAAAATTTTGTGCTGTCCTTGACCTAAATAGTATAAAACCTTCTGATCAAAACTCAATTTTAAAGCACTAATCCTCCATGTTTAAGATTTGGTTACAATGGTTCACTTCTGCTTATGATGTATATACCCCCTATCTTCTGTCTTCCCAGGGAGTGCATAATTAGTGAAGGTAAGAGAAGCCTGTTCATGAGAAATGAAAGGTATTTTCTAGGCCAGCAGATTTCAGGAAGAAATATGATTATGAGTTAGAAGCCACTTAAAAATCACCCCAGATTGCCACTAGCTTGTGAGTTGCTATAGCACTAGATGTTTTTCTTGGTTAATGAAGAGACCAATTAGCAGTCATGACTCTTGCACTGGCTGAAAGTGATAAATTGTTCTTACTTCATGCTTGCCCAAAGTGGATGTGGTTTTGCCATTTCTCATCCACAGAATTTATTAAAAGTGTTTAATTTTGTGTAGGGCCCAAGTTAAGCCCACTTGAATTGGGATAAACTTGCATAGGAGAAACCCTGATGATCTTTTATCAACACAATGGAACTGACCACAATGGAACTGACCTACAAGACCCAAAATGGTTATGGAGAGAAAGTGTTCTTATTTCTTCTATATTCTGGACATTATTTAGCTAGAAAATAATAGCAGTAGATTATTGCCAAGAACCTGCAAGCAACAATCTTAACTTCACAGAGCTGAGAAGCAAATATCAGAAGCTAAAGCTAGTTGTTGCTGCACATTAAGTTTCTCAATGGTTAAGTTTCTCAATGGTTTTACTGGGATTGTTATTCTTTGGCCAGTTTTGCTGGGTGCTAGATGAATTCCCAAAGTGGGGAATTCATTTAGGGTTCATTTCAGTCATGAAGAGATTCGGCGGGGAGGGGCATGGTCTAGTCATGTTACTTTCCTTGTGTTTGCATTTACATGGTGCCAGTCACTTTATTCAACATTCCCTGAGCTTTCTCCAGTGTTTCTCATTTGGTCATCAGCCAGAGAAGAAAGGAATAGGTAGGTACTATGACATCCCAGCTATGTGAAAGAAAGCTGGATTCAGCCTGAAGAATGGATAGCAGGCCCAGTTCTGCTGTAAACTCCCTTTGTGGCCTTGTGCATGACATTCCACTTCTTTTGGGTGCTGTCTGTGCTTGGGTAATGAGTTACAGGGCCAGGCCTCTTGCATGTAGTGTTTTAGTCCTTGAAGCCATTTAGTACCCATTGCTTTGTAACAGTCTTCCTGCAATTTTGGAACATAGCTACAGGTAGAGTGCCCATCTCTGAAATGCTTGGGATCAGAAGTATTTTTAGATTTCAGATTTGTGTGTGTGTGTGTGTGTGTGATTTGAAGATATTTTTATCTATGTAATAAGGTATCCTGGGGGCAGGGACCAGGTCTTAGCATGAAATTCATTTATAGTTCATATATACCTCAGCCTGATGGTAGCAAATATACAATATTTCTAATAATTTTGTATATGAATTTATTCATGGTATAGCATTTACCACTGTTGTGTCATATCAACACTCGAAAAAGTTTTGAATTTTGGAACAATTCAGATTTCAAATTTTCAGATTACAGATTCTCAGCATTTACTTATATTTTGTAGTATTACATATCAGACAGTGAGAGTCAAGGAGATCAAAGGACCTGCCCAGGTTTGAAGAAGCTATATCCTTTGATTCTACCAAGCCCAGGGTTTTACTCACCGTGCTGAAGCTCAGTCGCACATACCCAGCTAGTTACTGAAACAATTCTAGATCGCAGGTCCATGTCCCTAGCCCAGTGCTCCCCTGGGTCACCCTTGCCCTTTTCACTATAAATCCATCTATCCTCTGAGAGTGAGCCTTCCCCTAAGCTGTGTACATGGTTATCATGAGATGAAGAAGACATGAGTTTTGGTTTTTGTTTTTGTTTTTTTTTAAGCATTCTTTTACTTGATCCCAACCAATGAAGAAGAATCCTTATAGAATCCTAACTGTTCCTAAACTTCAGCTGGGAAACATTTCCACAGACCAGGTTTTTACTTCTCTCCATACTGAAATCCAGTTGTATGAGTTATTTTTACCAATGCTTTGTAGCAGTCTTTGTGTTGTATTGCTAATTCTTTCCCCAACACATTAGCAAATCATGGTATCTATGTGTGTTATATGTGATGTCTTTGTTCATCTTGTTGAATATCTTACCAGCACAGGCCACACCCTCTAACATTTCCCTCTCTTCAAGGTTTGGCCCCTCCATGCTTATTTGTCCTAAGTCAAATGCCCTTTCTTTGCTGAGCCCCAAAGCATTGAGGAAAATGTCTTTAGCAGCATTTGTTGTAATCCGATGTCAGAGTCTGTCAATACTTTGTGAAGAGCACTCACTTTAAAGTGATACAGTCCAAAAAGTGTGAAGCTCCATGCAAAGATACCAAGCAGATGAAGTGACGCTTCAGTTACTGGAAGTGTTAAGAGCTTCCAAAAACTTTATGCCAGCAGAGATTTTGGCTGAGCCCAATGATACTGAGGGCCATGATTGGAAATACAGCATCTGCACTTCTCGCAGCTTTCCTCCTCTAACTTTTCCTTTGCCATTCTGGAATCATTTCCTCAGCATCTGTATGTCTTATTTTACATGAACTGTTCTTCTCTGAAATAGATATATCACAAATATAGATGTCACCCTTTAGCCTGTTGAGGACTAAATTTAAGAGCTGAATGGGAAAAGGGCTTTGCGCATTCCTTGAGATCAGAGCTGATGAAAGGTGCCATATAAATGTAAGTCATTACCATTATGGCGATAGAAATTAGAGAGCCATTTAGCAATGGCAGCAGTTGCACACTCCATTTCCTGTTCCCCGCTTGGAAAATCCTTCATTCTCCATCCTTTAGCCCAGCAGATGGCTGCATTGTCTTGTTAGCTCTCTTACAACAAACCAAGAGCTGGAAGTTGTACAGACGCCTTACCATTTTTCTGTATCTTTTTCCTTCTGCTTCTTTGGTTTCAGAAGGCACTGGCTCTTTTGGCCTGTTTTCTGAATGCATACCATCTGCTAAATCTCCATTTATAAAAATGCTTGCCTGGGGCCAAAAAATGCATAAATAGTGGGAAAGTGCAATCTCAGAATTGGAAGAAGCTTTATCAACCCCACTTGAGCCTCTCTGTCACCAGGCATTGCTATCTCTTGCACATGCAGCCGATTCCCAGAAGAGCAAACCTGTATAGAGCTGACAAGACAGTCGGAATGGTGCCATGTACCCTCCTAGCCAAGTTACCAAAGGTGGAAGAAGTCTACAGCCTGAGTAATGTCCTTCCTTTTCAGACTACTTGGAAACAGTCTTTGCATATTTTGATCTAAAATTATATAGGTAACTGAGACATCACAACCACTCCTCTCTAGATAAAGGGAAAACAATGGGAAGAATCAATTTATATGTGTTACTTCTTAGTCCAATGACATTGTTAGGCAAGAAAGCCTTCCCTAGTCCCATATGTCAAGCACTTGCCTCATATTGATGGATGCGAGAAATTAATCCTGAGCTCACCTTCCAGATATCAGAATGCTGCCATGTAGGTATCTGGACTCCCTTGAGGCTGACTTACTCCACCTCTTGCTGCAACTTCTGTCTCGCCCTTTGCCAGCTCCTCTTATCAGCACTGAGTAGCATTTTGGGAGGCAGTCTTTGCTGTCACTCAGCAGCAGAAAAAGGATGCCCAAGCCAAAAGGAATGCACAAAACTCCTCCAAGAGCTCATCCAAAGGAGGGAATTAGCCAGATGGGTGAAGAGTTCTGAAGTACACACACACACACACACACACACACACACGCGCGCGCACAAACAAACATGTGAGGGAAATTTTCTAAAAATGGAATAAATGGACAAAGAGGACTCATGGGAAGAGAAAGTTAAGACTGAAAGAAAAGAAGATAATAATCTGAGAAGTATAGTCTGTGTAACTTTACAACTTTATCCCAGGTTAAATTCTGGGTCTCCTGCAGGAAGATACAAAAAAAAAAAA